CTCTATGAATCCCACCTTAAAAGACAGTGTAGCTATATAGACAAACCTGAGTTTCAGTGCTGTGCATTCCAGGACTAAGGTCAAGTATTCATACAGCAGGTTCTTTCTGGCTACACAGTGCCACAATGTATGTTGCGACACGACCATCCCCAGCTATGGCCAGCAGCTTCTAGATGCTGCCCTAATACACCATAAATATTTCTGGTATTTTGCTTTTCAACCTGCCCTCAGGTTGCATTGTGTCAAATGCAGGTCAGCGAGAACTGCTTCTTCCTCTCACAGCAAAGTCAAATTAAAAAAAAAAAAAAAAAAAAAGGGAGAGAGAATAAAAGCTCCATTGTTTTTAGAGTCATTTTATGTCTAGCATTCAAAGTAGAGAAATATCTATATGCAGGTAAAATAACTTTTTTCATAAATAACATTGGTGGGGCTTGATAACAATATGACCATCACTCACTGCAGTTTTAACTCGCACTATTCAGTCAAGATCTATAAATCAGGCAGTGGTATACAAACTACTTAACTATTTAATTAATCTGATGTACAGTGAAATTAATTACAGGCTTCTTCACAGTTTTTTGCCTCATACAGAATCTTCTTCCCCAGTACATCACTCCAGCATGCAAAGATTTATGTGGTAGTATATTTTAGCCACCTATGCCAACTTCTATAGTAAATCTGCAGTAAATGTGCATATGCATGAAGCATTACATACTAGGATCAATGAACATAGCTCCATCCACAGAATTCCTACATCTGACGTACAGGAAGGTAATGGGATTCTCTAGGCTTGATTTAAAATGTCTTCAAAAATTACATTTTACTGGATTGTTTCAGTTTGCAGTATTTGCCTGTTTGATATGAGGGTGCATGGATCACTTCTCTATACCATTTTTTACCACTAGACCTACAGAACTTGAAAGAAAATGTAAAATGAAGCAAATTTATTGTCACTGTGATTATCAAGCTCCTGGATTACTGAAACTCTAACTATATACAACAATAAAGGATGGTTTGATTGCAAAGTCTGACTGCTTGATAAAGACACGATTTTCTAGAGTTCAGCTCAGTGCTACCAGCTTTTGACCTCAGAGAAACTAAACTAATTTCAGCATCCTATAGTAAAAGCTGCATCCCTCATCTTTTTCAGCATGAATTCTTCGTTAGTAACACTTCTCACAATCTGCACAGGTCAGTGTAAGATTTCATAGATGACCCTATTGAACCCAGAATTAGGTCAAGCAATGTGTGCTCATCCTCAGCTATTTTCTAATCCTCTCTAGAAGTCTAACAGGTATTCCTACCACAGTTCAAGTATGGGAAATAGACTGCAGATAGGTATTTGTCTTCCTGTCTTTTAACGGGGAACCTACTTTGGGTGTATGCGTGGAGATTTGTTTAATTGGCAGTTCTGTTATTGGCAACATATGTTTTCGCTGAAACAAAAAGATCAAAGTGGAAGCAAAAGCAGAATCTTCCATCTAACTAGTAGCCAAGACCACCCAGAGGGCTCATCTGATAGCATTCTCAGTTTGTTTGTTTGTTTTTTTTTCATTTGTACAGAGACTAAAGAGGATAGCTTCGACTCAGCCATTTCCTTTCTTCCTGGCTTTTCTAGAGAACCTCCTTGTCAAGCTAACAAGTGTGCAAAGTTCCTGAATACAGCACTGACAGGTATTATCATGAGCTCAAATATGGTACCCATCGACTTATTTTTGTCAATTTCTTATAAGAACGGATATATTTGTTGGATTACATGGCTGTAAGATTATTTGTTGTTGGAAGTTACCATTGCTATCTTTGCTTCAAGGTCTGGTCTGTAAATTAGCTGAAACCGGTTGACTACGAGATGAGTTATGTAAGACCTGGTCCCAAAATGCTCAAGTCTGCTCTCCCTGGAAAGAGAGAAACAGGGACTTCAAAGGAGTTACACAGTTAAAAAAACCTGCTGTATCATCAATACTGTTTTATGTAACTACTAAAATGTCACGTTTGTAGAAGAGAAATAGGCATTTATTTGCATTGACAAGAAAAATCTCAGCAACCAAATGAAGATGCCTGGACATGCCTCTAAGTGGAAAGAGCTAAACCTGACAACAATTTTTAATTTTTCTTCCAACTCTCCATTAGCAAACTGAGTACAAAATACAGGGACATTACCAATACTCAGGCACCAGAAAAGAACCTCCAGCAAGGCAAGCACGATGCCTTAACACTGGTATGAGATCAGTCGAAATGTTAAACTGCTTCACTTGGTTCTTTTATCACTGGCTTAAAGACAGGGATAACTTTTATCCCTTCAGAACTTTTATAACTTACCCGACTGCATTATGTCCCATGGACACTAGCCCAAAGAAAATATTTTAATTCTTAAAGTAGCATGGGACCACTTGACCAAAAAATAGCTTTATTTAATTTACAGTTCCAACATCTGTAATTGATCCACTGCAGTCCACAGCAATAATCATTAAGCAGTCAGTAACCATTACAGCATGAATACTGCTATAAACACTAAATCACCAAAAGTGAATGATAAAAGTCCATTCTAACAATAGGGAAAGCGTAAGTAACTGGCTTTGTAAATCTCAGTTCAAAAGTCTGTGCAGGTTAGTAGAAATCTGGGTCATTCTGTTCTGAAATTTAATCATTCTTTGCAAGGCAAGTATGATTACATCCCTTTGCTTAACAGCAGGAGATTAGCAATTGCAAAGTAGCACTTCATATATGCAATTTTGTTGGCAGTCTTCCCAAGGCAGCTGTGGACTTGATTAGCCACTAGGACTGAATTTTCTACAGCAGGAATTATCCAAATACAGCTATTGGAATACCAAAGGAGATAAAAATAATGAATTAAATAATACAGTGAGGTTGTGTCTCTGACTGGAAGTAGAACATGCTTTCTTTCATGCTTTATTTTTTTCCTTTTTTTTTATTTTACTATATATATATATATATATATATATATTAAGATTCTAGCAATCTGTCTACAGTGATACATCTAAGATTACCTGGAATGCATATTAGTATTAGTACAGATAATGAACTTGTAACAGATAACACAACTTCTAACCCAAAACAGTTCCCCATTCTTAGGGAGGAATTTAGCTTTTAACTAAAGTAGAGACCTTGCACAAACTAATAAGCAAGCAAAAAGTTAAATCAAACTAGACAACCTATTTGCAAATCACAGTTAAATTATGTCAAAGAACTACTAAAGATAATTTGTACCTGTGTAGGTTATGCATTTCTCCTCATCTGGTCCACTCATGATCTAACAGACTCGCAGAACGCGAAAGGAGCACAATAGAAAAATTGGTCTCTCAGAATGGTAGGGATTGGAAGAGACCTCTGGTGGCTGCCTGGTCCAACCCAAGCCCACAGAGGACCACCTCTGGTAGGATTGCCAGATGCAGATGGCTTTCAGGCATCTCCACTTTCTCAGGCCTATAAAGATACAGCTGCCAGTTCAGTATTATTTGTCCAAGATGGGCTGGTCAAAAGAGCTCCAACCACATCTTTTTATTGCAGTTTATAGCACGAACTGCAACTGCCATGATCCTATCAGTTGAGCTCTATGAGATGACTCTAAGTCCTTTTCGAAATTATTTTATTCAGGAGGAAGGATGAGAAAGACCAACACCTTAAAAGTTATTTTAATGGAACCAAGGGACTAAAGCTTTGCTTTGGTAACAAGTTAGGTGCTTTTAATAGACCTTCTTCCCACCCTCTCCATCCCCAGCAACCACAACCAGTTACAAATATCAGTAGAACAATTAATTCAAATTGCCAGAGAGGTGAGATTTAGTTGCATTGGTCGAGGTTTTCACAGTATAGGTTTTTTTATTCTATTTTGGGTTTATCCTTAGGAGTTTCTTTGTCAGGACTAACAGAGGACAAGGAGGCCATGACAGGACACAAACCACAATCTCTTCAAGTAGCAGGAGAACTGTATGTCGTAAAGTTCTTACCGTATGTAAGTAGAATCCTGCACACTAGTACCACATAGATCCTTGCAATTAGCACTGTAAGGAGAAACACTGCACAGAGCTCAATAAATGGGCTTGAAATAGCATTTCTACTTCCTTTTAAGCACAATTCCCTCCACTGTAGCGTGTTCGGTACTACTTCTCAAACATCACTTAACTGCTCAAACTTTTGCTGCACTTCTCAAAAAAACTTAAAGCTAGAGATGGTTATGCAGATATTAAATTAAACCAATCTTTTTTGGTGGTTTGTTTGTTAACATAGGAGTTGAAGCATCTTGGGATCAGGGCAATACAATCTGAAGTGTTTGAAATTAGTATTCTGCAATTGGACTTGTTTGCATGAGCATTACTTCCTTAGTAAACATGTTGCCTACACGCCCTCTATGAAAAGCTGCAGATATTCAAACAGTCTATTAAAAAAACAGCCACAGTCAGCTGATTTTCAAAGCATATTTGGGAGGTGAGTTACTGAAAGGTGGGCGGCCCAACAGGATACAAACTCACATCATTGAGTTCCCAAAGGATTCTGATTTCAAATAAAATCATCTACCTCATTAAGCTAAAACTGCAGTGTAAGTACCCATCAAATACCCACCAGAAACCCAAATTGGAGCAGTTTCAAGATCTGTGAAGCTTTTCCTTCCTGCCCAGAACAGGCACTGCTTATGGGCAAAGCAAGTTCAGCTACCACAATAAGAGCATCTCACCAAATTCGTTCCGTGTGCAACTAGAAGAAAGAAAATTAAGGAAGGATGTAACTTCAGTCTCTGCATGCAATCTGAACAGTAACTTTAATATATGAAACTCAACGGTACCAATGTTAAGACATTCAGATCTTTCTTCACTGTGTTTTCCTGGACACTGGCATCTAAAACAACACCTTAGAAGGCAACACTGTCCTAACAGTCCTTGCTACATAACAGCCTGATACCAGCTGTTTGGGATTTTTGTGATTAGTGTTCTACATTTGTGATCTGCATCCAACTAGAAGGAATAAAGACAACAGAACACAGCTGAATCCAACAGTAGTTTATTACACACTTTTGGCAGATGAAGTTAGACACTTCAGTTACCATGAATTTAAATATTAGTTGATGACTGCAGAAAGTGTACAAGTACAAAAATATCATTAACAATAACCAAAGGTTCTGACATTATCTTCTAAACAGCAGTTGTATGCTATTATACAGCAACCACTACATGATCCTCAACCTAAATCAGGGCTTGCACTTGAAAGCACTTTTTGTTCTGTTTAAAATAAAAGCTCTCCAAAAGGTGGAGAGACTGGGGGTACAGCCACATCATTTCCCAAAGTACTATCAACATATACCCTTGCCAAATATGGAGAAACCTGTGTTATATTTTATGGATACTTGCTTTTATTGGGGAATACAGTAACAAGAAAAATATATGCATAGAATTTTAAAATCTAAACTTCAATATGCCCAATATTTTTAATATATATTTATATGTATAGTACTACAGATTTCATATAAATCAAGAATAGGCCAAATTTTGGCCCAATTTTAAGTGCATTACTATAAAATCCCCTTCAGCCTCTGCTCTTACATTTCAAGCTATCAAACTATCTTTTTCAGTGCTGGTATTATAAACACCCCTGTTGTAAAATTTTATTTTCCTTTCAGGCATATCAGCCTCAACTTCCACTAGACTTTCTAATAAAATAAAGTTCTCAAAAAAAAAAAAGCAAGCCATCTCAGTGACTGGTTTAGTCACGTAGTTTAGTCTAAATTGTGAGGGCTTCTTATTTACACTTACGATTAATATTTTTAAGGTAGCATTCTCCTTTGTACCCTTTGCACTCTTTGATCTTAATTATATCCTGCAAGCACTACTTCGCTTCATTTAGTTAAATGGACTCTTACCAATATGCAAATTATTTCAGGTGTAGAACTAAGTGCAAAAACCATTTTCTAATGCATAATTAACTGCTTAAAAACTCAGCATCTGATATGAGCATTTTAGAGAACACTTAAACAGTAATACTCTGTCATGTGATAGCTCATTTTGGTTCCAAATTAAGTTTTGTTTGCCCTTGCTTCACAAAGTAACATAGGAGGAACAACATTAGTGACCCAGTTATCTATCAATCTGACTCATAAATTATTTACAGTATATTTTAAATATGCTTACATATCATCTGGAACAAAAACACACTCAAGCTTTCTACCACAGTAGAGAGGAAAATTTTCTTTACTTCCAAGGTAACAGAGCACTGGACCAGGCTGCCCACAGAGATGCTGGCATCTCCTTCTCTGGACATACTTCAGACCTGCCTGGATGCTCTCCTATGCAGCCAACTGTCAGGAACTTGCATTAGCAGGAGTTGGGCTACATCTTCAGAGTTCCCTTCCAACCCCTAAACTCTGTGACTCTGTCAAAGACGTGGCATTAGATCATTCAGTGAAACTTCCTGGCACAAACAAGTCCAAAGCTCCTTGAAGTCATTTGTAGAATATTGCAGTAGAGTGCTTCTGGGTCATACACCTTAAAACAAAGGTTATTATGGAAAGTTGAATCTCAGTAACCAAGAATCAGTTCTCAGCTACTGACAGCATTCTGGATCTTGTTACTCAGCACTACTGTGGTACAGAGGAAAAAGTGTCAATTAACTGCTGCTGATATACAACCAGTTCCAGTTGCTGTGAAACAACTTCCAAGTTAAGCTCTTTAAAGGTCATGTAAAAACTGGGCTAAGAGACCTTAAGAACAATGTCCCAAATCTCAAAAGCAAGGATATGACATGTACACCTTAGCAGGTAAGTCACCTAACACACGCTAATTATTGGATGCATTCAGGGTTCATTCTCAATGAAATATGTATGGAACTTGGTGCAGAAATCCCAACAACATTAATAGGAGCTCAACAGCAATGGCCCCTCATACACTTGAATTGTTAAAACATCTTATATTGCATGTGAATCTCCCTTTTGTATTGAGAAAGCAAATACTGAAATAGAGACAACTTTTAACACAACAGATGTATTTACATACAGCATGCAAGGCCTGTTTTATGTATTTGAGCAGCTAAAACAGCCACTAACAGCCCTTAAGTATTTACAAGTTCAAAACAATCCTCACATAAGGAGGATTACAAGAAGTTCAGGACACTCCTTGGGAAATAAACAAGAAATGTTAAAAAAACACCAACGAGAGCAATAATAAAACCTAATAACAGAGGAAAACATGTCAGCTTTTAACACTGTTCTGGTAAGAAGCAAACAAAATTACACACCACATTCAAAGACAATGTTCATAAAGAATGACATCTTTCTGATATCAGGTTGGTTGCTTTGTTTTTAATTTTTCCTCCAGAAGAAAGGCTGTACCTAAGCTTGAGAAAGAAGTTTCTTAGCAAGGAAGATACAACTCCCTTTGGTTTGCCAATTAACTTTGATCTTTCGTTTTTATTTAAATTTGCAAGATAAGTAATAAATAAGGCAATGTAACCAGATGCTGAAGAGCTCCGTGGGTGATGCCATAGAAGAAAGATGCTTCAACTGTGGTTCACAGAACGGGAAGCAAAAGTAAGAGCTTTACTGTAAACAAGAAACTTTTTTCATAAGGAAAGGTTCTAGAACTTGCACATGCGTTGCACTGTGAGTCAGCCCCACTTGAGGGTCAGGTCAGGAAAACAAATTTCTTAAGCATAAAGCAGACTGGGACAGTTTGCTGTCTCTTCTGTCTCATGAAAAAAAAGAATTAAGTTCCAAGTTACACTCTACACTACTGTTAGCTTCAGCTTTGCATTTCACATGGCAACCAAATAATCCCAATTTAGCTTTATCTTTTTGTAAAAAATGTGTATTCATATCTGCTTCAATAATGCAGTTTTCTTTCCTAAAGACTTCATAAATCAGAGTTAAAATGAACAAGAATTGACATGTGAGTAATGTTTTTGCTTCACTCCATGAGATGTATGAAGTATATTGCCCTTTGGAAAAGACACTTCACTACCTTTTAAAAGCTTTGTTAAATGCATTTATAAATAATTTGGTACCAGCTGCTGCTTACATTAGAACCATTTTTTTCCACATCCAACTCGAGTAATAGTTTAGGGAAAAGTGCTCTAGTTTTACCTGCTTTATTATGACTAATTGGAGGAATCTTAATTCATTATTAACCAAAAATAAATGAAAATGAAAATATTTCAGTTGGCTTTTTTCCTCTCTTCTGCTTTCTAATACTAATTCACACTACATGATGTTTTGTGCTAAACATGGAAACAGAGGAGTAAAAGTTCATTCATGTAAACTTCACAAAAGCAGCTGCAGTCTTAGCAACAGGGTAGTAGTAAAGGTGCTGTACAAAGCAACATTCCAGTACACGTTTCCTACAGACCAAACAACGTGATACATGGAACGTGACACTGAAGTATGTATAAAAATATAAAATATATTTTTTGAGTAACAGTAAAATAAGCTACAGTGCAATTTTCCTTAGCCCAGTGAAAGTCCTACCTGCATTTTCCCCATCACTCATTCTAGATCCTCCACAACAGGTTCCATTAATAGTACAACAGAGCAAGCACAGCTACAGAAGACATTGTAAGAACATTCCTATTTTGTAAACTTCAAGTTCCTAGAAGTCAAATACGTACCTTAAAAAAAAATCAGGTTTTGTGCACACATTCTTTCTATGCTACAGTTTAAATATGTTTTACTATAAAATGCAAAGTTAAGACATTTAATGAAAATATGTCCTAAATTTTAGGAAAAGTCATCCCATTATTGTCATCAGACTTCAGACTCCTTTAAAGTAATTGGAACTACAAACACTTGTGAGGGCTTTTAAACATAAGGCATTTTGTGTACATTCCTCCCAGCTATTTATTCAGTGATTGCTTTAGTGCTCAAAGCCAAGCCAGAGGAAATCAAAACCCTCAAAATCTTGGGAACAAATCTATCTTTCGTACACATTCAGCATACAACTGCAATAAAGGAAAAAAAAAAACAAATTAGAAATATGCACTGAATTAAGCTAACCATCTTTCACAAGGTAAGATCTTTACAGCTGTAAAAGAAATTCAACACACCATCAGTTCTTTTGAATACATTCATAGCTGTGCATTCTGAACACACAGAGAAGTCCAATTTCATGTCACCTATTGCCAGCATGTGGAATCTTGGACTGCTCTGAGGAAAAAGACACAAAGTTCTTCATTTACCTATTAACAGTTCTGAGCTCGTACCTCCAGTAAAAAGAACCTCCTGATTGCAAATATTCTTAAGAAAATGTAAGCTTTGTATTCTAGCTAGATGACTCCCTTACCAAATTATGGTTTTCCTGAAAGAAACAACAATCCAAAACAAAGTAAACTCACGTCTGATCAAACAGTAAGACAGCTCTTGCTGTCCAGTTCCTAACATGGAAACAACAAATTGGGTAACACAGTACCAGACAAAACGAAACTCAAAAAAGAAGCAAAGCATCCTGCTCATCACTGCAAAATGAATCATGAAAAGCTCAAAAGTGCACAACAGTAAAATCCAGATATACACAAACCGTTCATGAAATGACCACACTGTCTTTTGCATGTTCATACCTACCTGCCAGAATGCTTGATGAATTTACATTGATCATTATCTTATAGCTGAGTTGGGTAAAAGTGATTATTACCTTTTAACACAGTGTGTTAATGAATTAAAATATTTACTTTTTTCAAGAACAAGGATATTTTCTAAGCTTATAATTAAAAAGCACAGTACTTCTCAATCAGTTTGGAATACTATGTGAGGTCCCTTTCTTAATAGAATGCAGTATTTTTATTGTTTTTATTTCCATATAATTTTGAACATCTCTCCTTTGTAAAAACCATCTCCAGAAAAATATATCCTCTTCAAGGAGCTTACAATACATGTTAAAAATACCTACAAATAGGTTATTGCCCATTTACAATCTCTTGAGGTCAAGAACAATTCTCATTTTACGTATGCAATTTCAACAGGCTAAACCCTGAATGTTCCAGTTCACTTGAAGCACGTCAGCAACATGGACAGTCACCATTTAAAAATATCTGCCTAATTATAAACCATTTTAAACACAATTAGTCTTTTTACATCACAGTATACGTGGCATTTCTTAATTTAGCAACAGAAAGGCACAGCTATTAAACTGTAAGATACAGTACCTGAATCATACATGCTCTAGTGTTATCTATCACCAGTGCCAATCCAAATAACCTACCCTGCAGGGGACACTAAAAAAAAAAAAAGCTTCTATTTGGAGTGGCTTTCTTTTAGAAAAACTCAATCAAATGACAAGTTTGGTCCATTGAAAATGCCTATTAGCCAAAACATTTCACACCCAAATTTGGGAGATAAGTGAGGAAAACCAACTTAGCATTGTATGGCCCAACAATTGAATAAGTTACTATGAAATGGCAAAAAAAAATCATGAATGCAGCTTTCTGATTAGCTGTCAGACATACCTGTTAAAGCATCAACATACACAGATACAGTATGACAGACATTCCAGATACATTCATTGCATCACATACAAACAGACTTTGTGACAGCAGTAAGTCTAGACATAGCATTTATAGACTTCAGCACTTCTCAAGGTACCCACCTTCTGGCCCCACACACACCAGAGATGTGCAATGTCTTCTAAATGCTTTGTCTGCTATGTACTGCTGTGAAAGTGAAGACCCTGCTAAAAGCCAAGCTCGCCGGCCTTCCCTTAGCAAACTAGTGCACCTCTTCCAAAAGCAACTAGCTCTGTTTTCCTACTGTAAGTGATAAATTTACATCAGGAAAGACCAATAAAATGGAAGACGCAAGGAACAATAGACATGAGGGAGAACCCAACCATTCCATACGTGATATAGCGATAGGGCAGCTCAACTTCCATGCGCTGTCTTGCTTTCCGTACATCATCGTGTGGTATGCGAAATATTTTACATGCCAGTGGAATAGTGGCTTTCTTCATTGCTATTTTTGTTAGTAAGAGAATTATTACGCCAATCAACAACCGTAATATGGCTTTTCCAAACACAGTCACGGTGAGAGAGGAAAGAGATAAAGGCAGTGTATCAAGAGGGGGATCTAGTTTCACACCCATCATGTAGTTAACATGAGAACCACAGGCTACTCCAGCACCACAGCCCAGTATCTGAGCTGTGTCTCCTCGTGATGTGCTCCACGTGTCTAGAGTAAAAGAGAAGATGCCCAGGGCTAAATGCAGACTGATGATAATTAGGGGCGCATACTTGTAAGTTAAGTTGAAGTCATCAATCAGGTCCACAACTGGATGGAAGACAATTAGGATGAGAATTGCATACAGAAATCCAGCAATAACATCCTGTTGAGAAGAGAAAAAGATGCTTTCAGTGTAGGAACTATTTTAAAAACATAGTTTAAGTTACATTAGCATGGAGACAAACCCAGCTGCTCCACTGCTAAACTCTACTTTCAAATTCCCATCTTTTCATATTTACATGACATGTCTTTTTTTTGTTAAGGGTAAAGTAAGGAACTGCATTTGATCAAGTGATATTGTAGAACAGCCTAATTGCTGGCTACAAAGGCTGGCAATGAGTAATGGTAAGGCAGCAGAAGACTAGAGCAGCCAGACGTTGGAGCAGCTGGGACACAACTCCAGATTCAGAATAAGCAATAGCAAAAACAGTAAGTGCTTCTTATTGTGCAAATACTGAAGAAGGGGAAGGAATTTGTGGCTTCATACTTGAAGTTCAGTTTTATTATTATTCTTTAAAAGCTTCTTCATGAAAGTGTTCCTCTACTTATTTTTCAGCTTATCATTAAATTTCAGCTATTGTTAATTACTCTGTTGAATAGAATTACCTATGAATTTTGTCACCTTTATTTGTTAATAAGCCTGTTGAAGTCTTTGTAGACATGAAAGCACTAGAGGCCAAATCACCTTTATCACATGCTTATCAGATTTCCCCATGCAAGTCAAGAGGTATAATTTCCATCTGCAGTATTTGTGCTGCTGTCTTCAATCAATCATTTTTATTCACTTCCACTAATTAAATGCTTGATAAAAGCTCTAATACAATTTGACTGATACAAAGTCAGACTTGCTCATTTCTGAAGCTTCCTACCATTTGCCACCCTGCCCCCAGCATCATGCAGCACAGTTCATCTACGTAATAGGTAACAAAGTTAACAGGATTCACTCAAACGCTACAGAGCTACAAGAGCTCTGAGTAGCCCAGTCTACATGATGCATTGCTATTTCTTGCATGACTTGGTTCTAGGGCATTATCTGTCTTTAGCTGAAACAGCAGTACATCCCAATTGTTCTCCATACAAACGGTTCTGACTTGGTAAGCCTCCAATTGCTAATGCAAATCACTCATTCAGCTTTCCTCCAGCTGCCTTATTTTCACACGCTCTTTTTGTACTTCCTCCATCCACCAGCTTATTTACTCACTACCAACTTTACCACTTCGTCAGCTTTTCTCCTTTCAGCACTTAAACCTCCTTAGCCATCTTACATTCACATTGCCATTTTGTAGCATTCTTTTGTTTCCCATTTTATATTACCTGTGTCCATATCTAGTTTGGGTGGGTTTTTTCCTAATTTTTTTTTAATAAATTCTGTTTCTCAAGGATGAGAACTTTGTTATTCATTTCTTTTGAAACTTTGATATGTAAAACCCCAGCAAACACTTTGAAACCCAAGCACACACTAACAGCCACTCTATTATCCACCAAATTACTTCTGCTCTGGAGGGGAAAGGCAGTCTACGCTTTGCTACCTCAATCACCCAATTCTGCACTAAATCTGCTGGAGTATAAATTAGCAGAACCTTGATGTGCATTTTTAACTACTGTATCAGTTCTGTAAGTATTCTGTTAAACCTCCACATCAATTTATCTCAAGCAGGTGTGCAGAAAGATCTGTGCAGGATCAGCCTAAAGGAATACCTTCTGAGAGAGATACAGAGTACCTCAAGGGCAGATACAAAAACCTTTTATACACAAACTTTGTAGAATAACAAATACATACCCAACATTCCCCTGGTACTTCAGTAAATGCACCAGACAACAGCAGGAGGCATTTCAAAGTTGTTCCAACTGTGGTTCAAGCAACATGCCTCCTTTGAGTAGACTATAATTTAGTTTTGCTTATGCACCTAATACAATCAGTTCAGCCTACATTGCTGTCACACCACATCTGCTTTAGTAATCAGTGCATGCAAGTCTAAAAATGATGGAAAAAAAGATCCAAGCATGAATTACTTTGCCAAAAAAACAAAAAACCAACTAACTTCCAGATGTTGTTCTCACTCCACTTTTGTTACTCACAGAACTTTCCTAGGTCTCTGCATTCACTAAAAACAAATTAATGCTTGAACAGTCTTGGGAAAATTGATGTAATGCAATCTGAATTCTACTGAATGAAGGCTGACAAGCTTTTTTTTCCTGCACTGAAAGTGAGAACTGGAAAATGTGAATGACAATTCAGAGACACAAACTTTTGTACAGAATATAAATGCAGACTGTTTCAACATAGCTCAGCAATTAACCTTTACGTCATGCAACAGGAGCAAATGCAATCTTAAATATTGTAATCATAAACCACTAGTACCCTAAAAACACTGAATGAGGGATACACATTACTGTAAATCTTGATAATGTATTGCTTTACATTTTGCTTACTTTTATTCTGCTTCTAACACCCTCTGAGATCCTCATCTAAGGGACTTTGTGCAGAAACTAGAGCAGAACTGCTACCCAAATACAGCAGCCAGGTATTAACACTGCTATTTGTACTGATCTCAAATTTAATAAACATCAAGTTACAGAAATAACAATATTGAAATAATAACAATAACCTGATAGAAAACTGCTCCAAACTGCTCAAGTCTACTGTCCTTTACTGGAGCATCCAGTTATTATAGGACAGCCTAGTAATACAGTTAACATGTGTCTGGGTGCCTTGTTCTTTCCTATACACACTTGCTGCATGCTAAGGACAGCCTAGAAAAACTAAGCACACATGGCAGATCATATGGCAGTATGTTTTCTCCACTGAGGAAATGCAAGTGTTCTGTTCCTATAGGTATCCTACATGTCCTGTATATCCTATCCTGTATCCTGTAGAAGATACTCCAAAATAAATTGTGTTAGATACAATGACTGCACTGTAAATGCTTCTGCAATGAAATTTATGAAGTCAGAAATTAACAGAAGTTGTTAAAATAAAAATTCAGTATGATTATTTCTTACCAAAATGGAATGCATTCCCATATAAATTCTACTGCAGCAAACCAAAGAACACCAGCAGAACGCAAGGATCAGTCCAAACATAAGGGGATACTGGTAAGAAAAGAATTGGAAGATTGTATTAGTGTTTGGGGAAACAAAAGAGATCACCAAGAAATCTATGATCAACTACATAAATGTAACTTGCAACAATCAATCCACACATCTCACACTCATTCTTCTTGTCTGAGTCTACCCAAGCCCACCTGGCTACCTCCACTAAATCTGCTTTTAATTAAGTCAAAACATTATAAAAAAAAAAAATCAAACTTTTACAATTTTTTCCTTGTCCTGTTCTACTCCACTCAGGCCACATGAATTTCAGAGTGTTAGGACTTTTAGGTTTGGGCTGTTTCACTGTGGTTTTGTTTGTTTTTCCCAGACCAAGCAAGAACAAATTACTACATCTTTATAACAGTTAGTCTTACCGAGCTGCGGTGTTCTAAATGGGGAACATAGCCAGAGTCAATCCTTGTGTTATAAGCTGTGAACAGTTTCACCCTGGGTAACACGGCTGTGTGATATGCTGGCATTGTCAGCAGCCACCCAGGCAGAATCTAGCAGCTTTACCTTTCTCATGATAAAGCAGAACTCTGTCATTTACTGCTGAATTCAATACCCTGCAGGCTGTTTTAGAGGTTCCGCAATCCATGATGTGATCTCCAAGCAACAGTACTGAACTCCTAGCATAGTAATCTTTGATCTGTAGGAAATCATATAAATTTCTCTTACAAGACTTAATCAAAACCCATCAAATTATCACCAAGACCTTCCGGCAAAAGAAAGATGTTTCCATTGTTATAAAGACTCCTCATTAGGAAAGAACAATTTACTTGGTACTAACAAGCATGTAGCAGAGTGTGGAACCAGCATATTAACTTTTATAGGTTTGGGATGATTGATAGAGCACCACCTCCACATCTGACACCGCAGTAAGAAATGCTTTCTTGCAATGCACCACTGCATTGCAAGACATTGTGTAAAGTAAGATACAACTTCCCTTTTCAGCTTTCAAAATACTCAGTAGTTTCATACAAGAAGTAGTCACAAGACAAAGCATTTCCTAAATTGCTTCACTTCCTATATGAAAGCAATGATATCAACTTTTTCATTATTTTCAATATAAGTAGTTTGAAGGGCAGAACACCCACCCCACTAGAAAAAAGTCTTTACTTCACCTGAATTGTACATTTTTTGTAAAGGCTGTTTAACACAATTACAGACTTTTAAATCAGTATTTCATTGAAAGCCTTGAGGAAGTATTATTGGCTTTCTGTATTATCACATCACTCCTTGAATTCTCAGCTTCAGGTTGATCTTAACGTGACAAACCTCAGAGAAAAAAATTCCTAAACTAACAGAAAATCAGGAATTCTACATTTCACACAAAGACAGAAATGATTTTTAAGGTGAAACCTATGTGCCCAGCTCACAGCTGTAATGCATCTAGTTTAAACTGACTGATGAAACAAGCAGCCCTTTTTCTACTGCAACTGCCTACAAACTGTACCCAAACAAACATCCCTAATAACTTATCGCTAATGGAAATGAGGGAAGAAGCTCAGAAGATGGAGGCATGACAGGAAGACTAATGAAGTGGCAGGACCAGCAGGGTACAGCAGCTAATGACACTGCTTTGATAAGTTTGGACAGTGCAGGAGATGTTAAAGCATCTAACAGCAAGAGCCACAGAAGGAACATAAAGAGGTGTATGTGAGGAGCCATGCTTTAAGAGCTCTCAGCAAGTCATTATTACAGCAGGGGGGACAGGAGAAAGTCTGGAAATGAAGTGATTGCTCTCAAGAATTCTCACAGAATCACCAAGGTTGGAAAAGACCTACAAGATCATCCAGTCCAACCACCCACCTATCACCAGTAGCTCTCACTAAACCATGTCCCTCAACACAAAATCCAAATGTTTCTTGAACACCTCCAGGGTCGGTGACCCCACCACCTCCCTGGGCAGCCCATTCCAGTGCCTGACCACTCTTTCAGAGAAATAGTATTTCTCAAGAGAGGTGTTAGGGAAAGAAGCAAGCTGTGTCACTAGCTCCCACTTTGAAGAAAGTCTTGGAAAGAATACCTGGCTCTCACATTACTGTGTATGTATATTTTAATTTTTTATGCTGTTGAGAACAGAGCTCCATTAAAACACCTAAAAACACTGGACAGCTTGGTTCATCTGCACCAAAGCATCTGTATCCAAGAGCTCAATGACTTCCCTACCGTGTTCCCAATAAAAAGCCAATTATATATTTTACAGTGGTTCACATATTCTTAAGCACAGCAGAACTTTTAACAGAACCCCGAGCAAATTACTCTTACTGAAATAGTTTCAGTATAACCTGCCAACAAACGTGTCCACAGTATGAAGCACATTCTGACTGTTGTTCCTTTCAATGCATGATGCTGATATTTTAGAAGTCCTAAACCCAGCCAGTTTCTTTCACCCAGATGAGCTTACTCACCACAGTGAGTATCACACAGAACAGCCTCCAGCCCACCAGAAAGCAGCAGACTACCAAAACAATAATTATTCTAATTTCCATTGGAATAATATTCCACAATGAAGTAGTTAAGTAGATTCCCACGATTAGCTCCCACACTAACCATTCCCTTCCCTGCTCCCAGCAGGCACTGGGCAACTGCTGGGTTATGAAAACTGATAAGTTACTTCACTGATACAAAAAGAAGCTCTGATGTATTTATGTATAAGATGAAAGAATAGAATTTGACCTAAGAAAGGTTTTAGCCTTCATCTGTCCTGCCTTATTCCAACATTATTTCTGTACCTCCCTGCATGGTACACACAACTGATACGATTTTCCCAAACCCCAAAACCCACCTGTGGAGCATCATGAAGCTGGAAGTATTGCTGGGGCTCCAGAGTTTGCTGGATTTCTGCTAAGGAGGTCAGCAGAACAACCTCCCCTGTTAGAACAAAAATAAAGCATGATATCCTGCTTCTCCAGGGCCTGTTTTCACTCCTACCTTTTAAAAGCAACCAGTAAGATCAAGAATTCTTAAGCTGGTCCTACCAGTTTAGTGTTCTAAGATCTGCCTCGAGGTGATAAGGCAATGGCATATTTTGTTCTCACACAAGGTGTAAGTGTACCAGGTGACTAAAGGAGAATATTAACACTCTCACACTTTGTAGCTCAGTAAGAACACTGCTCAGCACCACACCAAGCTGTAACACCACCTGGGGACATGACTGTGATCCTTGAAAAATAGAAAGAATGAAGTATTAGCAAGCACTTTCCAGATGATGTTTCATCTGGAAAACGATCTCCCATTTCAATATGTGTATGTGCACACAGTGAGGTAACACCATTTACAACCTCCCACTGCCTAGGCATATGAAATCCCCCAAATTTCATTTATCACTTACTGGCATAATGCCTTGAGGGTATTACCATGTGTTATCAGGCCTGCTTTACAACAAACCGTGTTTCTCACAGCTCCTCTCTCAATTACAAATGAATCCTCAAAGAAAGAAACAGCTTCTAAGATGCTTTTGCCTTAAAAAAGGCACATGTTATGGAATATTCATGTGAAAATGTTAATAGAAACAAATCAAGTGTTCACAGAATACATGCCTACGTATGCCCTCTAAAACTGATTAGATATCTCAATTGCTTCTATGTCACATCAACAGTTTTGAATATGTTGAATACTGATAGAACTGTGTAAGGCAGTTGTTTTTGTAAAGTAAAAAAAACCTTGTAACTTGAAATTCTTAGCCTTATATTAAAAAGCTCACGTAGTACTAAAGCTGGACTTTAAAATCACACATTGACTCCGAACCAATATTTCTCCTTGAGGAAAGCACCCACATTTCACATTAGATCAAATCACTGACCTCCACCTCACGCAGATCTTTCTCCAAAGTCCAGAACAAGACTTTGGTAATATGCATAAACATGTAGCACATCAAGTACTCCAAGAAGAAGTAGAAGCAGTTGGAACTGACAGCAACACAGAGAGCGTGGATAAAAAGAAATGCAACATATAGTCAAGCTACAGCCATTGGCATTTTGGTTTTTAAATGTTTGCATTGATGTGATGTTACTTTGAAGGCAAAGCATCCTGGTCTTTTTATTTGTAAGTGAGGGACAGGTCAGGAAATGTGTTCTTTAAAAAACAAGATTGGACAAAGTAACAATGAATTGATGTACTGAATTTACACATTAAGTTAAAGGTCTGGCAATAAAGCTGACTACCAGAATGCTGACCTTCCCACAGGCCTCCGTTTTGTTCCCACATCCAGAATCTTGTTCCAATCAAGTACACAGAACCAAATCAGTACTGTTTGGAAAACAGCAGTGAATCTACTCCCAGATAAGTTCTTTAGCACTGTATGCCTTATGTTTTCAATGGAAAACTCCCATTTTCTTTAACCACATTCTCCAAAGAGAACTTGTGCTGTGTGATCCACTTCGAAGCTCACATGTCCTCCCACCCCTTAGCTGACTTCATGCCAAGAGTCTTAATAACATAACCATTGTTTTAAAATGCTCATAAGGAAACAATCTGTCTGAAAAGCTTTGACCTCGGTCAGAAAAGTCTTTCTTTTAGAACGGAACATTTGTTAAACATACTCTAGATGCTCATTTCTTCACAGTTTAAAAGCACATTCTGTACTGAGTAAGTTTCCAGTACCCACAAAGGGTTCCAAATTAATTTTCAAGTATATTCAAGGTTCTACAGTATGATTTTAAAAGATCAATGAATAAGAAGTCCAAATCTCAGGTTGAGTTTGAAAGAACTAATTTGGGCCACTTAGAAGAAAGAACAGAAGCAGCAATTGCAGCACCATGCTTTTACCAGGAGGTCTGGGCTACATACTGGTGCCAGTCATCTGAAAAGCTATAAACAATTTTGACAAAAACAAGTGAGATGCTCTTTGGCCACACGAGTACAAAACACAGCATTCTTTCTTCCACTGACAAATCTTAACAGCAAAAGGCATAAAAATCTGAATGCTATATGACATTATTCAAATCTCCTCTTTAAATTCCAAGATAAAGATTTCAGTGTCAACCTGGTAGAGAGCTACAGGCTTAATTCTTCACTAAGTATCTGAAATCAGGAGTTAAATAGGATTGTGAGCCTGTTCTTTCTCCTTGCAAACCTTGCAAGCATCAGAAATAACCTCCCTCACCACATCCCACAAGAATCACCTGGAACTTCCTCTGTTTATACCCTCAAAACCTGAAAAATAGTTTTTCTGCAAACTGATGTTCAACACTACTAGAAATTTGCTTACGCAGAACTGAAACATATTTAATGCCAATCAACACAATTCCATAGGACATGCTGCTTCATAGCCTTAGCACAGACACCCCAATGGATCTGTAGCAGGCTGCTGCGCTCAGCTTCACACAAACTTATAAGAGCACATGCAAACAGGCCTCACCAGTCTTGCCTCGCTTTGTCCACAAATAAGCTACAGACATTCACATGGGCTACAAAATACGCCAACTCAAATGCACAGCACAGGGCAAATTCCTCCAAATTCATAATTCTGCCTCCAGATCTCTTTACCATGCAAGTATTTGGGGCCTTCAGATCACCTCTTCAGCCAGGCTTCTCACATCAGAAGAGTTTTGGGTTGATTGCTTAAGAAAAATCCAACAACTCAGACAAGCACATGTTGCAATTCCCACAATAGCAGTGTTATGATGAGACTATTCATCCAGCACCAACAGTTAATCATTCCACATTCCCAGGGGTATCTAACAAGTCAGTCTCTTGAAACAGAAGAGGCAGACAATTCTAATGCTAAAACATAGTAGTGGTTCAACTGAATGATGCAGAACTCTCTGAAATCCCAAAACAGAGCTTGTCCAACCCATCTCATTTTATCAGATTCATCAGCATTGCATGATAGAAGTGATGGTGCAAATGAAAGACTTCTGGAAGGGTGCTTGAGTTGGTACCACATTACACACAATTTCTACTATGGAGAATCAGCATGGCATTAAGTAAATGAAAACTACAAAATGCTTTGAGATGTGTCAGTTAAAGCAGCAGTTACAAAATGGTTGGACTCTACTGGAAGTGCAGTTGTAGGGCTTAATAGGCCACCATTCTCAGTGGAATCATTGTTGGAGGGATTTGTATGTACAGCACAGGCAGATGAGTACACAGGGAAGATAATTCTGTCATGCTCAATGATCTAAACTGCTTTGCAAGATAAGCCCTTCCCAACAATGCTAGTTAACACAATTAGATGTGAGCTACTCATCGATCAAGGCTCCAGGCTCCCACTGAACATCAGTTTAACCAAGCAGCTCAGGAAGGCAAAGTCCATAAGCCAGAAACTGTGGCCAAAGCCAGGGCGTACTAACTAACCAGGCCTAACTCAAGCACAATATCTAATTGAAATCAGCAGTTCAAAGCCATCAATTAAAATTTAATTAAGACTTTTTCCCACAGTCTCAGATGAAGGCTTTTGGAGATCTGGTAGATAACAACTAGCAGTTCACACCATCTCTTCCACCCCATTCACAACACTGTTTTGAGCCAACCCGCATCTCAAAGAAAGCAGGCTTCCACCAGTGTGACAGAGGACCAGCATTCCCTACGTTGTATCAGGTTCTACAGCCTCGCTGTCTGTCCTTAAGCATCTGTCCTCTTCTTTCAGGCTATCAGAACATTCAAGATGGGAAGAAAGATACCATTCATAATACTCCTTAGCTGTTGATTTGGTCTTCGTAATTCAAGCTTGCCTAAATGTCTTTGGAAGGTGTAGTGTAGCCAACTGAGATTTAAAAATATATATATTATTTAATAAAATGATGCAAGTAGAATCAAAAGTTTCAGGCAGGCTCGCATAACAAAAGGAGAAAGTGAGAAACCACATTCTGCACTTGAGAGAACAGTTAGCTATCATTCAACTTAACATCTGACTTTCACCTAGAAAACACTTGCACTGAACATTCCCTGTGAAAGTGCACAATTACATTTAAAATGCCCATCTCTCCAAATATTTTACTTCAGTAACTGCATGTATAAGCAAATATTGTTTTACTACATGTATCCTAAACTCCTTCTGAATACTACATGAAATGCAAGTAGTTGTAATAGGATTAATGATAGACATTGAATAATAGGGAATCCCAAATTGAACAAGTTAGAAGAAAATCAATGGGAAATGAAATGTTGTGTTTTCAAATGGGTGATTTGGGCTGTACCTAGGAAAAATAAAGAGCAGATTTTCCTTATACTCTATATTATTTAAGGGAAAGACTTACAGATTGTTTGATAGAAAAGTATAACACAATACTAGGAAGTCATAAGCCAAGGAAAGCAAACTCCAAGTTATATAGGAAAGTGATTCCCCTTTCACTTGAGTAAGCTCTCCTGGTGCAAGAGCAGATCTCTTTGGTGTAGGAAAGCCCCTGAAGCGTCCAACTCAGTTACTTTTACTCCAAGAAAGCCTGCCAAGAGTTAGAGCTCCATCCCACTACAATTGTTCTGAACAAACACTGCTAAGATTTGGAGTCGTATTTACCATGATAAGGGTCTGTGTAATGCTTGCTTATATTGAGTACAGAGAAAGGTTGTAACTCAACATCTGCAGCAAGTTTAAAATCTAACCACCTGTACCTGCTGATACGCATCTGTAACTTAATAGTTTGCCATTAATAGCTTGCCAAGTAAGTTAGATGTCAGTTCCAATTGCTTTTGTTGGTGGTGGTTTTGGTTAGAGGCATCTTTTTGTTAATAGTTTTTGCTTTTTCTTTTTTGGTTATTTAAATTCCTTCTATTTACAAAATAGTACAACAAAAAAAGTTTTCATATAAATTCTACCTCTTTTTCAAAGTCAGTAAAACATGGAAAACAGCAGGAGCATTAGATGAAAGCTTAATTCCCATTAGAGATGTTGAATATCTTTCAGTACATCCTATAGGTTAACTTTTAATATCTAGAAATAATTTTTAAAGTCAGAAAGATTTTAAATGGTAGCATCTGGTTTCAGAAAGGTCTGTTTCTCAAACTCATTTCATAGGAGGAATGAAATCATCTGAAGACTTGCTTTACTCCCTCATTTCTTGTGTGGTTCTAAGTGAAAAAGAACAAGGCTGTCTGCATATAACTTCTTAATACACATTCATTAAAACTGTAGTCAATTAGCACAGTATTTCATTGACTGCAGTTGCAGAGCTAGCAAAGAGGAGATTCAATCCAGTTCACTGCCAAAAGAGCTATTTTACACATTGTCAGTTTGCTGGTTTTATAAAAGTAATCAAGGCAGGCCCTGCTTAGTACATATGTCATCAAAATCTGTGCAAAAATGATTGACTGATACTACTAAATGAGCTTTCCTACACACACAGGAAAAAATCCCATTCATCTTTTAATAGACATTCCTCTCACACATTTAAGTGAAACAATAATGTTCAGATATATAGACAGCCCTAAAAACCAATTTCATGATGAAGCACCTCCGAGACAGAAATCCAAACATTTATTTCATGCATACACACAAAGTGTGAAACAGAAAAGCCTGCCAGACTGTAGCAGAGTAGGCCATCACATTTTCCTAGCAAAGAATATAAAACCCCAACAAAGCTTTCTTTCAGGCATGCAGCACCACCTCACAGAAGTAGATACATAAGCTCTGGTTAAAGAGAAGACAAACACGATACAGCCTCCAACCTTCAACTCCTTCTTTCCTCTTGGGCACCCATTTAATACACTGAGATAAAGCCACAGAGCAGAGATTGCAAACATAACTGGTAGATAACAGTTCAGCTTCTGCACAAAGCTTAAGAGAAGCATTCTCTTTACCAAGGCGGCACACATGGCTTAAAACAATCAAGTTTCATAACAGAGTTTGTAAATATTAACTGCTTAAAAGTAGAACTATTACTTCAACTTTATACACAGAGCCCTCAAAACCTTACACTGAGTGTTTATCGCCTGGAAAAGCGTTCTGCCTCACTTACTGCAGGACCTGGTGCGGTGATTTAGAGGACTGAATACACGTTGGGCTTCCCTTGGAAACCCTGCTGTTGGCCATACAGCTAACAGTGTGTGCCACAATGCAGCCCATGGCTCAGCATGCGTGCACAGATGGCCAGCAGCATTCCTTCAGCTTCGTGCACTGCCTCAAGTGCAATAGACCCCCCCCGAGCATTTAGACTCATAGAATGGCCTGGGTTGAAAAGGACGAGGATGATCATCTAGTTTCAACCCCCCTGCGATATGCAGGGTCGCCAAAGGTTCAGAGGTTAATTCCTGCTAATTATTGGCACGTTAACAGCTGTAAAGCCATCCGAAATTAAGCGTAAGCCTCAAAGAAATAAATGAGCATCACCAGTTTACAGGCTGTTCAACTAAAAATAACGAGTTAAAGAAAAGGCAAACCGATTCAAGCTATAAGGTGACTCAAGGCAAAGCAGGCTCAGCGAAAAGCCCTTCAGTTCCTGGCTCCCCACCAAATTCTCAGTCAGTAGAACCAGAAGCCTATACAAACATCGGATGCCTATCGCAGCAGCGTGCAAACCACTCAAACCCTGCAAGAGAAACACTGAAAAACCTCACGGGAACAACGCGCCCGTTTTTAACGCAGACTTACGACGCACGCAGAGCTCACCACTCCCTACAGAAAAAGGCAAAAAGAAAGCAAGTACGGCACGCCGCAGCCTCACAGGACGGGGAGCTGAGCGTTACCTGCCAGCGGCCGTAGCTGAGCAGCAGCAGAGCCAGCGGGATGGCGGTGCCCGACATGGCGTGGGTGGAGGGCATGCTGTACTCGGAGTTGTAGAAGACCTCCAGCTTCACCACGGGCGGGGAGGCGGGCCGCGGCCAGCGGATGACATCCTTGGTGCACTGCCCCACGTACATCACCCACACCCAGATGATGATCAGCCTGCGGCCCAGCCAGGCGTCCAAGTTCCAGATGCAGAAGGGGAAGAAGAGGATGTAGAAGAGCTCGTTGCCCAGCTCGGTGCCCAAGCTGAAGAGGTAGTAGAGGAAGCGGCTGCGGGCGTTGAACTCCTGGCAGCCATCCTCCTCCGTCAGGGAGTTGCGGCGCGGCCTCCGCCAGCGCTGCGGGGCGGCAGCGGCCCCTCCGGGCACGGCCCCGTTCCCCGCGGGATGCCGCCGCCCTCCCGGCGGAGACCCGCCGTTCGCCACCGGCCCCCGGCTCCCGGCCCAGCCCGCGGGCCCCTCCACCCCGCACAGCCGCTGGAAGGCGGCCACCCCGCGCGGGTCCTGCAGGTTGGCGGCCAGCCGGGCCAGGCGGCGGCACACGGCCATGGCGGGACGGACGAGGCCGCCGCTGCGGCGGGCTGAGGACGGCCCCGGAGGCGAGGAGCTTAACGCCCTGAGGGACGGCGGCTCGGGAAGGGACCCCCGAATCGACCTCCGCCGGAGGACGAGACGGAGCGGCACCGCGCGTCCGCCGCTGCCGCCACCCCCGCTCAGCGGCGCCTGCGCGCTGCTCCCGCCCACACGGGTGTAGACCCCCCTGAGGGGAGTCCTCGCGGCGCGGATTGGCCGCGATCCTCTCTAGGTCCCGCCCACAGGGGAACGGGGAACCAATCAGGGCGGGGCGCTGCCTGGGCGGCGTGCCTCAGCCTCGGCCTCGAGCGTGAGGCGTGGAGGCGGCCGCGGGCGGGGTGGCGGCGGTCCCTGGCGGCCCTGAGGAGCGCGGGGTTGGCGGTGCGTCCGCCTCGGCAGCCGTCCTGTCGAGCTGGCTGTCCTTCCCTCTGCCTGAGGGCTTCCTGATGCTCCTGGCTGTCCCAGCAGTTGTGCCCTAGTACTCAATTATGCCCTAGTACGCTTGTACCTCGCCTTAAAATCAGGAGGTTAAACAAGTGTTAAATGTGCCTCTCCTTGCCGCTGTTGTGAGCAGCGTGAAAGTGGCACTGTCCATTGCAAGAAGGACTGTAGGAAAGCTGGGCTGAAGGAGGTCATGTCTGAGGAGAAGGCTCAGCCTTGTACAGCACTTACAGCAGTGACCTGGAAGCAACTGCAAAAAGTCACCTCAAAGATTAATGGAGGCTTGAGTGAAAAATGGCCAGAATGTTGGTAGAAACATCCCATCCAATGAGCTGAGCATCACACTCTAAAAAAGAGCCAACTGTGGAGCTTGTAACTATCAGATACAAGGCTAAACCCTGGGAAGATGCTGGCACAGAGAGGGACTTAGGGTTAGAATAAATAAGCGCTTACATAAGGGCTCTGCCATACAGTGCTATGACAGAAGAGAGAAAAAAAGGATCAATCAGTGTATAAACAATGGAATAAAACAGTGCTCATTGTACTCCTCCTGTTTGGCCTCAGCAGTGCCTTCCACAGGACAGTTCATACAGTTCTGGTTTTCATTTCTGAAGAAGAATATTGGGAAGTAAGAGAACAAACGCTCAGGCAATAGGTTCTGGTGGTTGGAAAAAAATGCCTTACGCTGGAGGTTTTAAGAACTAAAGCTGTTAGAAGTAATCTAAAGGAATTGAGAAGTGACTTGATTGCAGTGCGTAAGAACATTCCTGGGGGAAAGTACAGGATATTAAAGGCCTCTTTAATCTATTGAAGAAAGGCATAATAAGAAGCAGTGGCTGGAGGCAGGCATTCAAATATGAAATAAGACACATTTTTATATGGTTAACCACCAGAAACCATTCCCGAGAGAAGCTGAGGATTCTTCATCATTTCATGTCTTCTCTTGAACATTAGAGCATTTCTGGAAATTATTTTTTACCCAAGCAGAAGATACACTTCAGTTTATTGGATGAATACAGGTTGAAATCTGATGGTCCGTGATATGCATCGTGTCAGGTTAATCTAGTGGGACCTTCAAGTTTTAAATTTTAAAGGCCTGAAGCAGACATTTCATTAATAACCATGAGCATTAGAATCTTTTTTTTTCTTTTTCTTTTTCTTTTTTTTGTCCTTGCCTTGAAATACTTCCGCTCAATAAGAAACTGATCAGAATTTAATGTTTGACTGCAGAACATACGTACTGAGACAACATCTGGGGGTTCTGGCCCTTTTACTTCCCAAATTTGCACTCTTGGGGTTACTTAGGAAAAAAAAATCTCTGCATTTCCATTTAGATTTCTGAAGGAATAGATCCTTACACAGAAATTTCATCTAAAATCTGGATAATGATCCTCCCAGAAATATTTCACATCGAGCACATCAATTATGTAAAATTGCCTCAAGGCCAAGAGGTTCAGAGAGCACCAAATGAATCCTGATAGATTATCTGTATTGTACATTTTATATATTTATATGTTGCATATGTTTGCATTATAGAGTCTTAACCTCACTTGAGGCATTATCGTGGCATAAGCAATGATATTACCAGTGGAAGGGCTGTTATTACTGAAAGAGGGATAAATGGAAGATGAACGGTGTTTCAGATTAGCAGCTTGTTGGAGAAACACATACAAAAACCCACCACTGAAAAGGTACATGGTAAATTTTGCTATCTTGAGATGGAAGGTGTGCTGCCATTTCTCTGCCTTCTGAGAAATGTGCAATGTTAATCCTGCAAGACATACATGCTTCCTAATTTAAATGCTTCCCTTTTTCCTGGATCCCGAGCAGAAAATGCAAAAGCAGCAGCTGAAAAACAAGCTGCCGCCTTCTTTTGTGTTTTCTTTTTCCCACAGCCAAGACACAATCTCCCCTTAAATACGGAACAAACTGAAATCTGATAATTAACTTGATGATGAATTCTGGAGTGTGATCTGAATAACTGTACAGGTAAAACAGTCACTGTGGTTATAAAGGATGTAGTGAAACTTGTCTTTATGTATGCTCTCGGTAACATAAAAAAGCTCAGAGTCTTTATGTGTGTGTGGCTGAAACTTTTTACTTCGACTTTGAACTATCAGCGTGAAAATTGGATGGCACTGAAACTGAGGAAGGTTTTAAATTACTTTCATGTTTTTGAAGTGAATAACTGTTGCAATGGGCACTCCATAAGGAGCAGTGCAGTGCACCCTGCCTCTGAAATGTGTTTCTTTTCTGTCTGCAATAGATGGACCCAAAGTTCTGCATAAGTTTCAGCTGATAGTGCAAGCGTGACATTGTACCACATGCATTTCCACAGGTGGCAAACCAGCATACTCATGGCCACATTCCCATAAGATCCAATGGGACAGCTGCAGGACTGGATGGCAAAGGAGGTGCAGAATACATCATGCTCACAGCTGCTTCCATGACCATCCTGAAACATGACAGAAACAGAGTCAGCAGTCATTTATGAAGCAGAACATCTCACTTGCTGTCCCTGCAGATGGCCTCTGGTTTCTGGGTATATTTAAGGCACTGGTTCTGCCTTATGAAGCCCTAAAACATTGGAGAACTGTTTATCTGTGTCTTTGGCAGCCAGCTGTTTTTCTCTTGTAGTGTAATTGAAGGAGCAGGTGGCAGGGCATTCTCCACAACTGCGGGGCTTGTTTTCTGTCATCATCTGAAATAGCTTGAATTTGGTAATTTCTTGTGCACAAAGCATCTGTTTGTTAGCGTTTTTTGAAGAAAATGAGAATAATTTGCCAGCAAGATGGAGGACAGAAAGGAGAGGCTGTAGGGGTCTGGATTCCTGTTAAGATTATTCTTCCAAGGCTTCTTGGAGTTTGTTGTATTACTAATAATTTTAATGTACCTAGAGTCAGAAGCAGGCTTCTTTTAGATAATTTGGGATACAAACAAATAAATATGTGCTTGTCTATTGGTTATGTTATTCCCCATGGATGAAAAAACATTGGGTAGATTGGGAAGAATAAGGCTTGGTTCTTCTGTTTCTTGTTGTTATTCATTGCTATGCTATAAAGTTTACCAGCTGCAATAAAACAGGAGTTCAATGACTTGCTGCAATCCCCTAAAGCCAGTTTGGCCTGGTTGTGCATTTATGTCTTCTGGATAAAGCTAAAAGTTAAGTACATAAGAGTGCCTTATTACTCTTTGTTTGCTTTCATAATGCATTCCCCCTATTATTGGCTTTTGTAAATTTCTTAAATTCTGAAGGCAAGTATCATTGTTCACACACTATTAAGTTGTTGCAGCATTTTTTGTATGGTAGGGGAAGGTCACTGTATGCCTCAGGAATCTCAACTGTTGGCAGAGCAGATACATTGAGTCACAAAGGCCTAAATAGCTTAGTGGCAGGAACATCAGCAACAAAAGCAGAAAGTCCAAGCTGTGTTTAAATGGTGAATGTTTCACTTTAGAGCCTGGATTTTCCAGGGAATGGACTAAGGTGACTTTAGTGTGTCCCTAGTTTACCTTGGGGTGGCAGAGCACGTGTTCCTGTGGCACAAGATGTACTTTATATCACACTGCTGCCAGTGGGTGAAGGCTGAGTGTGCCCATAGTCACTCAGTCTCCCCAGCTCTTTGCTTTTTGTTTTTAATCCACGTCTGTATTGGCACATGGTCTTGGAAATGCAGTGATTAGGTAACTGCATGCAGATGCAGAGTACAATTTTATGATTTGTTACAGCAAACAAGAATAAAAGATTCAAGTAATAAAAGAGGCTGTAGTGATATGATCTTCTCTGCAAAGTCATTCTGGGAATGCAGTTGTTATCACAGAATCACACATAGGATTACAGAATCACAGGGATTGGAAGGAACCTCCAGAGATCATCGAGTCCAACTCCTCTGCCAGAGCAGGTTCCCTGCAATAGGTCACACAGGTAGGTGTCCAGCCACGTCTTGAATATCTCCATAGAAGGAGAGCACATAACCTCTCTGGGCAACCTGTTCCACTGCTCCGTCATCCTCACTGCAAGGATTTTCTTCCTCATGTTAGTGCAGAACTTCCTTTGTTCAGGCTTTTAGGCCATTACTCCTTGTCTCGCTACACACCACAGACAAGAGCCTGGCCTCATCCATTTGCCTCCCACCTCCCTTTAGGTATTTATAAACATTAATTAATTCCCCCTTCAGTTTTCTTTTTCCCCAGGCTGAACAGATCCATGTTTCTCAGGCTTTTCTCCAGGTCCTTCAGCATCTTTGTGGCTCTTTGCTGAACAACTATATTGTTATATTCTTTTTTGTTCTTCTGTGAACTTAATTCCATGTATTTGACCATATCACTGGTCACTTCAAGCATAATTCATTTAAGGTAACCTTATTCAAGACATGTTTCTGTTATATTAAAAATGAGATTATTCTCTTTCTTTTTTTTTCATTCACATCATCTTAAATTATTTTATGTCCTTAGTAGCAGCATGAGAGTGCCTTGCAGTCATTACTTGTTCAATCCATAGGACTATTTCATGGGGGACTGGTATGCATAATTCCTCTCCACTCTGTTTTACAACTGGGAAGAGAAACAGACTTTTAACAATTTCATTACGCTTAAATTTGTTCCGTTTTCCCAGGTTCCCTCAATTTTAATTATTTTAATTGTATAACATATTGTCTTCATGATGAGAAAATGGAAATCTTTCTCCAAAGAGACTAACAAGCAATGAA